AAAAAAAAAAAAAAAAAAGACAGAAACTGAGGAGGGTAAAGAAGCAGTAGTGTTCCTCAGAGTGTGGTCTAAAGCCATCCTGCATCAGAATCACCTGGGGTTTCTGGTCAAAGCAAAAGGTGCCTGGGCTTCATCCCAGACCTACCAAAACAGAGTCTCCAGCAGCATAGCCTTGGGTTAGTATTTTAATAAACTTCTAGACATTCTTGCACACTGAAATTTAAGAGCTGCTACCATGCAGTCATCAAGGCCCTTACCATTCATAGGAGAAACTCACCTTACATGGTGATAGCAGCTTCAAAATACACGGAAGGTACCAGGTTATCACCATTTTCCTCTGCCCAAGAGTCACCTGTTAAGTTTAGCTCTGCTCTGAATAGATGTTATTCTGCCCCCTTTTTTTTTTTACCCTAAAAAAGCTATACAAATAATGTGTTTAATTCTGTCTCATTTTTTTTCCCTTTGGGCTGTTCCTCTAGGCACTTACTGATGTCGACGAGACTTACCGAAAACCTGTCCTAGGCAAAGCATATGAACGCGATTCTTCACTGACTCTCACTAGGGTAGGCAGTTTCCCTCTGACCTCCTGAGTAGCCATCATGCTTAGGAATTAGGATCCCTGAGCCCAGTGACCAGGATTTCCTAGAGTGAAATCTCTGTTGCTATAAAACAGCTGTGCCTGTACCAACGTCTTCATTAGTCTCTCTTCATGCTTCCAGCGAATCTCAAATGAGTCTGTACCTGTAACCTGCATATTACTTGAGCAGCAAGTTGTCTCTTACAACACTTAAAGTCTTTCAGCTTTCTACCACAGAAATAAGCCTTTTCATTTGACATATGTATTATCTGCGTTATGGCTAGAAATAGGAAATTTATTACTAACTTTTAAAAAATTGCAAAGTAGGCTGGGTACAGTGGCTCACACCTGTAATCCCAGCACTTTGGGAGGCCGAGGCGGGTGGATCACAAGGTCAAGAGATCGAGACCATCCTGGCCGATATGGTGAAACCTCGTCTCTATTAAAAATACAAAAAAAATTAGCTGGGCGTGGTGGCGCACGTCTGTAATCCCAGCTACTCGGGAGGCTGAGGCAGGAGAATTGCTTGAACCCAGGAGGCGGAGGTTGCAGTGAGCCAAGATTGCACCACTGCACTCCAGCCTGGCAACAGAGCGAGACTCCGTCTCCAAACAACAACAACAACAACAGAAAAACACTTGCAAAGTAAGGAGTCCACAGAACATAATTAAAGAATTTGGTATTTTTTTGCATGTTGAAAGAGGGTGTTGAAGGCTAATATTTATCATTGTTTTCTATATAGCTATTTGATCGGCTGAAACTTCAAGATTCCTCCAAGAAGGAAGCAGATTCTAAGTCTGCAGTTGAAGATTCCACTCTGTCCAGATACTCACAGACATCCACTTGGAAGTTGGCTTCAGTGTGGGGAAGAGGAGACACTGACCGGGGCTCACACAAGCGTTCCCGCTCTGTCCCTTCTTCCCTGCAGGCCTCTGCAAGGGAGGAGTCCAGGTCAGAGCTGTCAGGGAGGACTACACGGACAGAAGGTTCCAGTGTGGGAGGTACCTTTTCCAGGGCTACCACCCTTTCCAGAAGCCAGTCCCGTAAGAAAAAGCGAAAGCCCAAAGTGGATTACCAGCAGGTATTCACTCGACACATAAATCAGATTTTCATTCGAGGCGAGAATGTCCTGCTGGTTCATCTTGCACAGTGAACAGCTCAGCCTGAGCTTTGGTTTTTAGAAATAAAGTGCATGAATTGCTGCTGTATCCTAGTATCCCAGTGAAACTCTTGAGTTGGAATGATTCCCTCTGGTCCTGCCTATGCAGAGGACAGAGCAGGCTCAGCCCTCTGGAAGGTGAACTTAAGGGGAGGACAGGCCTTGGGAGGGCAGGTGTATGCATTAATATCAAGGCAAAAAGCATGTATAGATACATGCATCTGATTTGGTGTCCTGATTTACTTCAGACCCTGAAACCAAACAGGTGATCCTCCATTAGGGGTGACAATATGAGTACAATTTACTTTACAGAGACTATAGGGGAAAAAATAGTCTCAAAAAGAAGTATTCCATGTCTAAAAGCTAGTGCCCTGAGTACTCATGAATTCGATTCTAAGAGTAGCGGTGTAAATTGCCTTGGAGCTCTGCATCCACATCTTCTAACTAACCTTTGAATTTTGCCCAACATGTTTCTCTCTTGATGAAGAAATGAAATGTACTGTCTTTGAATATCTACAAGATCTGGGAAAGTTACCAACTTACTTAGGGGTGAAATTTGGATAGGTGTTATGCTCAAAAAAACCAGCAATGAGTGCTCTGTTTTGATCCTTCTTATGATGGAAAGGAATATAGGAATTCCTCAGTCTTCCCCTTACCAGAGGTAGCCTCTGCAAATGGCATACCAGACGGGACTCTAAGATTCTTATGTGGTGGCTTCTTGTCCTTCTCTCTGACTTCTGTGGCATGGTGCTAGCGCATGTACCCTGTGGTGTTGGCCCTCTGTCCGTAGCGTGAACTGTCCTGTGAGCTTTATGTCAGGAGACTGTAACCTTCATGTCCATCTTCAAAGAGTTCTGCATTAGCTCGGTAATACCTGTCGCATGGCTGAGAGTCCCCTTTCCAGACAGGGCCAGCCTTGTGTACAATATCTTTCAGAATATGGTTTTACCATGAAACAGGGGTGATAGATTTATTCCCTGTGTCAGGCCAAAGAAGTTCTTACAAAGTACAGTGGGTAGTGTCTAAAGGGACACTTTATTCACAGCCTGGCTTGAGTAACAGGAACACCACTGCACCCACAAATACTTCTACTTGAATCATATTCTATGCTTTTCAATCATTAGTGCAGAATAGGCAGCATCTTGACACAGACTGTTAGGCAATATTGATTTTTTTGTTTTGTTTTTATTTGATTTTATCTGAGATAACTTTGTTCAAGGTGAGAATAAGAAATAGCCAACTAGTTAAAATGTATGAAAAGAAAACGTTCCCCTGCTGTATTTGTTGTGTAACATAAGTAAGCTTCTGAGAAGCAGGGTGAATAAAGTTTAGGGAGCTGGGACACCTGGTCCTTCTGCTAGCTGGACCACTGGCTCATCATGCAATGAAAGGTGAGCAGACTTAACCCCTCTGTGCCTCAGCTTTTTCCCCACAGACACCTACCTCACAGGGGCATTGAGACAAAAACATAAAGGAAGGCATTTTACAGTCTCTTAACATGTTTAAGTGCCATGAGTAATTTTTCCTGACCCTATTTCATAGCTTTGTAAGAATTCTATGTCTTATGAGCAAGGCAGGTGCAACATAAAAAAGTAATCTTAGTTGTCATAGTTATGGCCCTGTTGTAACTGTCTTCAGAAGGCAGCGATACCTTCTGGAACTGTTCCATATTCCATACCTTCTTCCTAAGGGACAATGGAAGTTCTCAGAAGAGTATCTTCAGTAAGAGGAGAGTAACCTTTTTTTTGCTGCTCCTGCTATATCCCAGGTCTCACCCTTTTCTGATCATTATCAGAAAGAATCACCTAAACTTTTCAAGGGGTTTATATGATTGCACCAAATGGAGAATGAGCATCTAAAAATGACATATCCCCAAAGGGAAATCTGTGGATGTTTGTTGTTTGTTTACTTGTTTTTATTTCTAAATGCATTGTAAAGTATACTCTAGTGCCAGATCAGATGCACTAAAGTTTATAGAGGTTCCAGGTTACAAACTTAAGTGAACAATAATCTTTGGAATCTGCCAGTCTAAATTCTAAATAGTGTATCTGAAATCTCAGTTCCCAAAATAGTTGTCTTGTTTAATCATCAGGCAACACTATGTATACCTGTGTGGCTATCCTCATCTGCCTGTCCTCTCATCCCTCAGCTAGAATGATGTACTCTTATTTTTCCAGTAAGATAGAAATTTGGAATCAAAAGGAATATAATCAGTTTTCATTCATTCCAGTGCCTAATTAAATCTAACCTGATTTATTTTAAACATATGCCTGTTTTTATGTTTACATATAATTTTCATATAGCCGTATAAGGATTGATTTACTGTTTTCTGCCCAGCATGACAATTCTGGCTATGAAAATTATGTTTAAACTGTGTATGATCTGTTTTTTGTGCTGTGTGTTTCCATTTATTTGTTGGATCTGAACAGTGGTTCTGGAATGAATTCTGTCTAATAAATGTGCTATTTTGTATAAAGCATAATTATTTTTTAACAGAATTTTTTTTTTTTTTTTTAAGATTGTAC